ACATAATAAGCAGTTACATCGAACCTACTCGTGCTAAGTTTTACCTCCGAAAAAAGGAATACAGGGCTCAAGTTCGATCCAAAAAAGGCGCATATCTCTTTCAACTGAACGAGAAAATAAACAATGGCAATGACATTAACTGGTCTGCTCTGAAAGATCTCTCGTCCTCCTGTAGAGATCCTGAGACATTCGATCTGTACGATCTATTTGCTTTTCACAAATTCTTCAACGACCTCTACAACCAAAAGTGCAAGGATCCATCCCACCGTGAACTTCAAGCCCACAACGCAAGCAATGATGGGAGCAGCCACCCTGACCTACCAACTGAAGTGGAAAATCTTAACATGGAGTTCACTCTACAAGAGCTTGAAAAGGTGATCAACAAACTCAAAAACAACAAGAGCGTATCACTGGACCTAATATCGAACGAGATGCTCAAGAACTCCAAACTTTGCCTAAGGAAAGTTCTTCTCAAGTTGTTCAACGGCTGCCTGGAACAGGGGACTTACCCATGGAATTGTTCGATAACCACCCCTCTCCACAAGAAGGGCGACAAACAGAACCCTGACAACTACAGGGCGATAACTGTTGGAAGCTGTCTAGGGAAGCTATTTGCTTCTCTTCTCCTTGAAAGACTTATCGACTTCCGCAAAGTTATCTGCCCCGATTTCCCCCACCAACTTGGCTTCAGAGCTGGTGCACAGTGCTCGGATCACATCCTTACAATTACCACAATTATTGAGAAATACACGAAAAAGCTCAAAAAGAGAGTGTTTGCTTTTGTTGACTACCGGAAAGCGTTTGATACGGTGTGCAGAGAAGCACTCATGTATAAGCTCAATCACCTTGGTATCGGAGGGAACTTCTTCGCTTGCCTTAAGAACATGTACAGCAACTCGGTGACCCGCATCAAACTGATCCAAAAACTATCGGAGACCATTGATGTCACCATTGGAACAGAGCAAGGGCATCCAATGTCTCCTGAATTGTTTAAGATATACATCTACGACCTCTCCATCTATCTAGCAGCCCTAGAAGATCTCTCTGTCCCTGAACTTAATGGCTTCCCAGTCAACCACCTGCTCTGGGCCGACGATCTCATCCTTTTAGCTCTTGACCACCAAAGCCTTCAGAAAGAGCTTAACTGCCTAAATGATTTTGCAAACAAATGGGAGCTATCTATCAACATTGATAAGACTAAAATAATGGTCTTCAACTCAAGCTCGCGGGTGCTAAACTGCTTGTACGGGTTCAAGCTTGGACAGCTCGACATCTCTCCAACAAGGTCCTACTGCTATTTAGGTATCCAGCTCAGCCTCAATGGATCTTTTAAATGCGCCATGAACGAACTGAGGAAGAAGGCGCTTCGAGCATTCTTTTCGATAAAACGCATGGTAGACACCAGAGCTCTGACCACCAAAACCATGCTAAAGCTAATTGACTGTCTGGTGAAACCGGTAGCAACTTACGCCTGTCAGATATGGCTACCCTCGACTCACCTCGTGAAAGAAATGGCGCGTGAACCCAGCCAAAGACACAACCTATCAAAAGTTGCAGCAAAAGACACTCTTGAGACAACACACCTCAAAATGCTCAAATGGGTACTGGGTGTGCACAAGAAAACTAACAACAACTTCTGTTACGGGGATACAGGAAGGATGCCCTGGGCCCTCTCAGTTCTGCCACAATGCCTCAGATACTTTAGAAGACTTTCCGGAGCTTCTTCTGAGACGAACAGTGTCAATTTTTTAGTATCTCAAGCGTTTCAGGAACAGAAAAATCTTAACCTCTCCTGGCACGAGAAACTTAGCTCTGTGGCTCATTATGAAACAGAAGCAGCTCATGGCACCATGAGGGATGTCTTTATCAATGACTGGAGGGTGGACCTGGGATCGCAAACCAAGATGCTGTTCTACAACAAAATCAAGGAGGAATTTGGAGAAGAGCAGTACCTCAATCTGAAGAGCAGGCAATTCCGAACGAATACAGCTAAAATCCGCTCCAGCAGCCACGACCTGATGATAGAAAGAGGGCGTTACACGAAGGAGGCCGGAGTCTGGCCAAGAGCATGCAGATTCTGCTGCGATAGGGATCACGTTCTCGGCTTCGAATACCTTCCCTTCTTTGAAGGCACGATTATTGAAGACGAGGAACACTGCCTTACTGAGTGCCCCATGTACCACTCAGTACGATCTTCTCTCTCAGATGACCTTAAAGGGCTTTTACTTCTCAGGAACTACAAAGACATGATGAATTCAGCCCACATAGAAGAACTGGGCAAGTTTCTCAGCAGCTGTCATCGCATCAGAAATCCGAAAAAGACACCAACATCGTCTTCCACTCGATCTAACACATCCGGTAACGATTCCGAGTCACTGTCTTAAGGACATTTTAACTACCCCAGTGGCCCTTAAACGAGTGTTCGAACTGTTTTCATTTGGAGTTACAGTTGCATAATTTACGCCCGTCTTTGAGTTTGTGTGTAATCTTTCCTGATAGTGTATTTTTGACTTTTGGAGTAATTTTGTGAATTTTATGAACCATTCCTGCATAATTTATTACCTTGTCGGTGCATTATCCACTTTAACCAGGTTAAATTATTATATTTGATTTTATTTCTTTTTCGTTCAGATTGTAGTGAAGTTAATTTTTTAAACGTGTTTTGGGTCTTATTTATGATTTTCTTTAAAATTATCTTATTTATTTCATTGATGTATTGTCACGACGGGTTCGTTAGTGTTCCCCCTGACTATTTAAGTTTAATTCCAGTTTAATTACAGTTTAATTCCAGTTTAATTCCATCACTGCTTATAATGTGATAACATTATTTTCACAACTTTGAGTTGTGAAAATAGTCCAACTCGTCAAACTCGTTGGTTAAAACGAGTTATAATCCGAGGTTTGACCGAGGGATATAACTCATGTTATCATATTATAAGCAGTGATGCAAATGCATTCTCTGATGATCTACGAAATGATGCTAGCGAATGCAGCATTTACATCGGAAATTAACGACCGATAATATTACTACATATTACATTCCAGAGTCAAACTTTCTAGAGGACACATCCTTATCTCTTAAAATTGTTACAGGTCGCTGAGATGTTGCTAATTATTTTAAATTGGTTAAATAAGCTCAGTGAAGCTCACACTCACACAAAACTGGCCACAAATGTTTGACTACTTGTTATTGACATTCTGTGAAATTTTGAAGCAAAAATATTTATAGTGGATGTCCTTGCTGTACGGCAAGTTAAACAAGGAACTGAAGCTACTAGGTTCCGTACAGACTCAACTCTGCACCCGTGTCAATATGTTCATTATATGCAAGCCTCTTGATTTATAAGTAATGGCACTTTCTGTTTTAAAAATAATTAGCAACATCTCAGCGACTAAGGATGAACCAGGGAGATAACTATTGTTACCTCCTATTTACCTGTTAATCACAGCCTAAATGTTGTACCAGGGAGATAACAATAGTTATCTCCCTCCCAGTTATTGCACCCCTATTTAATGCATTATATTAGCGTAAACAAGAGTGAGATAACAACTTTTACATTATGGACAGTTACACACTGATCATGAGAGAATGGTACTTATACCCCACCTAAAAATGGCGCACCTGATTTTGTGTATAATTACATATGTTAACCCTAATTAGTGGTGATTTTTACTAATGCGAATTGTTAATTGTATCCAATAACCCTAATTGAGTGTGTTTACTCCTCATTAACAGATGAACATGAAATTGGACTGGTACAGGGGTTTGGAGCCTGTCCTCGCGCTAGACCCATGTTTCTCTACCGATCATGTCACAGCCTACCGCACACAAAAAACAATCACTCCAAGTTAATTTTCGAAAGAAACCCGAGTATCACAAAACCACCAAAAGAGGACTTTCTTATTCACAACGGTTTCAAGAAACGAATTCCTCCGCAATCAACACAACCCATCTGGAGTAAAATATTCACACCACACGTCATTACTAAAACTTTGAAATGTAGCTTTAGAGAATATTGGGGGTCTTGTATCAACACTTCTCGGAAATTAGAATTCTATCGTGACCTAAAATCCAAATTTAACAAAGAGTATTACCTAGACAGTGTCATTAAATATGCAGACCGTGCTAATATCACAAGACTGCAGATCAGTGCACATCGACTCGAAATTGAACTTGGCCGATATAATCAAACTCCTCGTGATGAGCGAATATGCTCCTGGTGCAATTTAGTCTTAGGTTCTGGTATTATTGAGAATGAAGATCACTTCCTTAACCATTGTGATCTTAACGCTGCATCGAGGCGAAAAGTCCTAGACAAGATCCAGTCACTCATATCAAATCCAATCAAACCATCTGCGACATCTTATTCTGTTCACACTGTCATCCCTGGAGCAAACGTCCTCAAATTCATCAGCAACAACAGTGAAATCATTGAATTAATCACGAACGAAAGTCAAGTCCACCTCACGAGAGTCGTTGCTAGATTTGCCACTACGTGTTTTAACAACCGCAAGAACTTCGTCGACTCTCTGGCCAATACATGAACACTGAAAATCACTGTACCAGCGCTTTTGTTTCTTTTCGCGCAACAACGAGTGCAAAGTGGCCTGGCTCAATACAAGCATTACAGCATTATCAAGGCGACTGTAAACAAAATATTTTGTGTCAAAATCTTTATTTTTCACTTTTAGTTTAAGTTATATTAGTATAATAAATTCAAATCTTATGATATTGTTATTATCTTAACAGTTACTATTGTAGCTCAAGATTTTAAATTTATATTCCTTGTATTCCTTGTATTCCTTAACATCTTACTATATTTAAAGCAAGACGATATATATGGATATATGGATGGATCCGTACCATTTTACTGACACCACGGCATCAACTTTAACGCGACTTTCTGCAAAAACCGTAAAAGATGTACAACTAAAACTTTTTTGACTGGGTGTTATCTATCAATAGCTGGCGCTATCTAGCGCCAAAAATAATTGGTTACCTTCATCATCGCTTGAGATAGCCATCCAGGAAATTTCACCCGAGGAACTGTCCTTGAGGTCGATTCCTTTTCGCAGAGTGAACTTTTTGGATGCGGTCTCGTATGTGATACCTCCACAGTCTAGTAGGAGAAGGTGGCATTTAAGGTGAATTGATATTTTACCAGTGATTTTGCATATCTTTTGTGTATTAAATTTCAAGATAACCAATTAATTTTCTAATTTATCATCAAATAATTAACTGCAAGTTTGAACTGACCGGATCGTTTGAGACATTCGCTCTGAGCCTTCAGAAGACTGTCATATTTGGCGTTTCCTGCGCTGTAGCCGCTCAGATATTTACCAGCGTTCTTGCTCCAAGTCCCTGGAAGAAAATATTTTCATTACCTCAGGCATTATATTTATAGCAGGGACCCGTATAACCTTAAAATGGTGTCAAGACTCAAGAGACTAAAATAATTATTACCTATTTAATTCGCGTTTTTGACATCACTTGGGGGTCCAAATTTTGGGCTCTAGAACACAAAATCAGGTGCGCCATTTTTAGGTGGGGTATAAGTACCATTATGTAACTCTAATTAGTCAGTCACTAACTCTAATTAGTTAGTCACTAACTCTAATTAGTTAGTCACTAACTCTAATTAGTTAGTGACTAACTGTATATTTTTTATAGGGTAAATTTTAGGCATCTGTTACCTTATAACAGATGCCTATAACACTGCTGACGAGGTGCTAGGAACTATACCTCCAAAAAAACACAAATCCTTCAGTACTGATCCTGAGATCGCTGAACTGTCACTTGAACGCAAGCAGCTGATGATTGCGAATATGCAGAACAAATCCCCGACAAACAGGAAGCATGTCAAGACCAACATCAACCAGCTAAGACGTAAGATCACAAAGAGACTCAGAGACATCAACAACCGCAGTGCTGACACACTCGTCGAAGAGATCAACAACACAGACGACGCCCGGAGATACTTTGGAGCCTCTAAGATACTCGCCAAAGGATATGTTAGACCAGCCCTAACCGTCCACAACTCTGCTGGGAATATCGCAGGTACTAATGAGGAGAAAGCGAGGATTATTAAGGAGTACTTTGAAGCTGAGTTCAACGACGCCGATGAGCCTTCCCTTCCTTCCTTAACCCCTCATCTAGCCTTAACAGTCCCATCACCGTTGCAGAGATAGAGAGAAATGGGCCATACCTTGGGTTTTGGAGCTCAATTTTGCTTCCTGAAGGTCTAAATTGTGTAACACTAACAGGCTAGTTTCGAAGTTGAAAATCAAAAAGTTGCACATGTGAGGACACGCCCAAATCTTTTTAATCTATTACAATTGCAAATGAATGGGAAAAGCGAGCGACCGATTTCATTCTCGGTATAATCAATTTGCATATGCGGACGGTAATTATTCGAATTAATATCATTTCCTTTTGCTTGGGAGAGAGAGACACTGCATGTTGCGGTCCACTCTACCCATGATTATGGGTTTTGGTCAAATAAATACTGACAAATTTATATATCCTACCTGGTACGATAAGTTCGTTACACAAGCCATAGTTGCATGTTTCAATTGCACAGGCATAATCCTTCAAATCGTCCAAAGCATTTTCAAATTCAGATTTTAATCCCCTACATTTATCCAATTCTGATGACACATCTGCCGCCTTCATACATTTATAACTTTTCTTATAGCTGAACCTGTTACCCTCATAGAAGGTCGTGGCAAGAGATGCGCACACGTCTTTTCCGGTCGGACACTGAGAAAAGACAATTTTATTATTTACCACCATATTTTCACATATAAATCAATCAATAAGCATACATTCAAATAAAGAATACCCAACTAAATTTTGGCCCTAGATGCTTAGATGGTAACATACTATAGGGGTCGTTCACATATTACGCAATCACATTTTTACCATCCCCCCTCCGTAATCAGTTTTACACATAGCTATTGTATCAAGATTACACTAGCGTAATCATTTGGAAACCACCTCCCCCTCTGCTGATTACGTAATATGTGAACGACCTCCTATTATAAATAGAATTGAGTGGAATATCAATAAATCCATACGTTAGCAGCTAACTGGCTATAAGTATACCTGTTGAACGCTGTATTTGGTACAGGCATTTTTAACCCCTGATTTCAAATTTTCGTCCAGGCATTTCCAACAAGTAAGCGATTGAGCTCGTGCCACCATTGCCACTATTATAGCTATTGCTATATTCATTTTAGCTTCTTTGCTTTAGGCTACTGTAGATATATTGTTAATAAATGTCAGTTTTGATATTGAAAAACAGGACTGTTTATCCCGACCTAGGATACAGCCAATGAAATGTAACTCAACGCAATGAAAACAACCGATGAAACGATATATATAATAATAAGGACTTGTCTTGCACGTGCAGACAAAGACGAAGTTTCACTCAATAAATCAAACCGGTTAAGTGAATAAGGAGTAGGATCGTTAAAACTGTGCAGGGATTATTTACAAAATAACACCGCAACTAATTTTCTATCCCGTTTCTTAGCAGTATCCCAGAGGGGTTTATAGCAGCCTACAAAAGCTACAATCAGACACTAAGCTCAGCTACAACAACAGCAAAACATACCTTACCCTTTATATTAATCCAAATTTATAAACTGCAGTACGCAGTGAGTAGCCGAGGTGCCGTGCAGCTCTATCCGCATTATCTTAAATGATTAGAGGTATAACATATACCTTGTCGGACCTTATTTGGACGGACATTAATTGAACGCTGGAGGCCCTTACGTTCATCTTAATGTCCGTTCAAATAAAGTCCGTTCATTTAAGGTCCGTCAAAGTTAAAGTCCGTTGAATTTTTTTCAAACATTTTTCCACTTTGAACTTTTTGTCCAGAATATGACAACTATGATAACTTATTCATTATTGTGCCTTAGTCTTACGTTAATGAAGGAAAGGTTCTCCTTGGTCTGCCAGAGGCACAGAAAACTCTACTAGTATATGAGGTTTTCAAGAGTCACTTGGCGGAAAAAGTCAAAGGAATTATGGCACTCAACAACATAGTTCATGAGTTAGTCCCCGCCAACATGACAAACTTTTTCCAGCCTCTAGATATTACGGTTAATCGTGTTGCCAAGGACATTGTCCGACGTTGTTATAGTTCATATTACTCAGGGGAGGTAATGAAACAGTGCTAAGAAAACTCCAAGTGATTAAGGTTAACCTTAAGTTGTCTAAGATAAAACCACTTCACGCCGAATGGCTTGTAAAAGTTGACACTGAAATGCAGGACCGGGGTTGTTTGATAAAAAAAGGTTTCCATAAAGCTAGAAATCACTGATGCTTCAAGCATGGACTATTTCATGCACGAAAACCCATTTGATGAAGATGATATGTGATATTAGACACTGATCGTGTATACACATTTTAACATTTTTACTGCTTAACGACTGCTATTCTTACTTACTGTATAAAAAATGGATTTAAAAATCATTTGCTGAAATAAAAAACGTCAAAAAATGAAAAAAATTCGGATTTTTGATGGTTTTGAATGCCTTCTAGAGTTCATATTAATGTCCGTTCATAATTATGTCCGATCATTTAATGTTCGTCCAAATAAGGTCTGATAAGGTATGTGAATACTCTATTTTAATGACCTTTCAAAAGTGGGATGCTCGGTTCACGCAGGTAATTTTCACTAGGAGTACCGGGAAGAAACATTATTATATAGGACTCACACAATTTAGTACACTGATATTTGCAGAAAAGAATTGGACAATTTTCGTTAATTAGGTAATCAAAATTTTCGTTTTTTAAACCAATTTTCGTTTAGTAAGTGTTTTGCGATTACTAATCTTGATTACGTAATATAGGAGGGGGTTGGGTCTTGATTACAGGGGGGGGGGGTCAAACCCTGATTACGTAATATAGGGGGGGGGGGTTCGGTCTTGATTACGGTTGATTACGGAGGGGGGGGGGGGGGGGAATTGCCAAAATATTGATTACGTTATAATATGTGAACGACCCCTTAATAGTACAACTTTGTTGAAATGACAACATAATAGAAGAGTATTAAAATATTTTTCTAAGATCAAAATGTCAATAAGTTCCGCGCCGTCAGCTATTGTCCTTTGAAGTTTGAACCCGCTAGTATATAGTAGTAACAAATGATAAAACTAAGTAAATTTGATAATAAATTTTTGATAATAAATTTTTGATAATAAATTTTTGAACTTAAAAAGGTTCTATACTGCGGTCGGCTGCTGTAATGTAACATATTGAATGTTGAGTATTAAGATGCTTATATTATATGCTATTGTTTTAGTAACAATAAATAGTAGGTTTTCGTAACAAAAAATGTAAAAATAAAAATTGTACGTTGAGCTTAAAACTGTTCTGTATTGCGGTCGGCTGCTGCAATGTAATATATTGAGTATTGAGATGTTTATATTATATGCTTTATGCTATTGTTTTAGTAACTCCCACATCGGAGCGGGTTTTAACTGCTAGGCTGCATAGTAAGCAAATCAACATCTCTGTTGTTGTGGCCTATGCTCCAACTGAGGGTGCAGAGGAGAGTGAGAAAGATAAGTTTTATAGGACACTCACAGATACATTTGATGGGCTACCTCGTCACGATATCAAGTTACTGCTCGGCGATTTTAATGCAAAAGTAACATCAGGCAGATATGGAAGTGAAGCGGTCATCGGTGGGGAATTACTCCATAGCTCATCAAATGACAACGGGACAAGACTTGTGGATTTCTGTGCGACGAACCAGCTTGTCATCGGGGGAACTCTCTTCGAGCACAAGAACATTCACAAGGGAACATGGCGGTCCCCCAACGGGCTCACCGTCAATCAGATAGATCATATCTGCATTGGAAAGCGGTTTCGTCAGTCACTTTTTGATGTTAGGGTATGTCGCGGGGCAGACATCGGCTCCGATCATTATCTGGTTCTAGGACTGCTGAAAATCAAACTTCAGTCAGTGACAAAGATCAACGCCAACAGGCCCAATGTGCCTGCCATTGAGCGCCTGAGGGATAGTACTACGGTTTTAGAGTACAATGTGGCTCTTCAAAACCGATTTGCAAGTCTGGATAGTGAGGTCGACCTCGAGGATATGTGGCGTAATCTCAGTCAGACCGTCACTGATGTCTCACTGGAGGTACTAGGCAAAAGACCCCGGAAGGCAAAGGAGCAACACCTGTCACGGAAGACCAAGGATTTATTGACTCAGCGGGCACAGTTTAAGCGCAAAGACCCAAACTCGGACACTAACAGGTCAGAGTATTCTAAACTTAATAAGTTAGTCAAGAAAAGCAGCAAGCTAGACGACAATAACTGGGCAGTTAGAGTAGCTACTGATCTTGAGGAAGCAGCGAGCAAAGGTCAGCAGCGTGAGGTATGGGCAAAGATCAAGAAGATCTCTGGTAAGAACAAGAAGCCTCAAGCATCTTGTGTCCGGGACAAGGACGGTAGGAAGATCACGGATCCCCAACAGCAGAGGGATAGGTGGAAGGATCACTTTACTGAACTTCTGAACCCCCCATCATCAAGTGTCAACCTTGCCGACCTTGATACAGTACCACCCCAACCCCACTTTAACTCTCTCTCTTGTTCGGATGGACCACCCACCAGAGACGAGATCAGTTATTCCCTGACAAAGCTTAAGAACAACAAAAGCCCAGGAGTGGACGGGATAACTAACGAGCAACTGAAGTATGGTGCGAGTGCTCTAGTTGATCAACTAGAGTGTCTATTCAAGAAAGTGTGGGAAGAAGAGACTGTTCCTGAAGATTGGTCAAAGGGTGTGATCATTGTTATTGGGAAGAAAGGAGACACTTCAGTCTGCGGGAACAACAGAGGGATCACCTTAAGGTCTACAGCATCCAAGCTTTTTCAGATGATTCTTCTTAAGCGGTTACATGCTGGTATGGAGTGTCTCCTTAGGGAGAATCAGTGCGGATTTAGACAGAACCGCTCATGTATTGATCAGATTTATTCTCTCCGAACTATTATTCATAACTGTCTTGAGTTTAACATTCCTCTTTACATTAATTTTGTGGATTTCAAGGCAGCGTTCGATTCTATCAGAAGGGACTTTATTTGGTGCAGTATGAGACACTATGGGCTGCCTGAAAAATATGTCAGAATATTTCAGTCATTTTTTGGGGGTACCATGAGTGCCGTGAGGGTTAATGGGGAGCTGACAGACTGGTTTGATGTTAACTCAGGCACAGGTCAGGGTGACATTCAAGCACCTCCTGTCTTTAATTTCTGCCTAAACTTTTCTGCATTTCTGGCTGAGACCAACAAGATCATCAGTCAAGGCGCAGTGCTACAGAAAGAGATGAAGACGGTCGAGGAAAAGGTCATTCTGGACACCGATTATGCTGATGACATGGCTATTATGGACAACTCAGGGGAAGGCCTACAGGAATCAACTGATCTATTAGTTCATTACAGCTCCTACGCTGGGCTCAGAATAAATGCAAAGAAGACCCAATGCATGGCTGTAAGCAAGTGCGCCTCCCAGCGACCTTTCATCAAGGATGATTGTATTGAGCTGTCGGTTGAGGGTGAACCCGTCGAGCAGGTTAGCAACTTTGTCTACCTTGTCATACGTTGTATGACCCGCCGCGCACGAAGTGCGCGGCTCCCCCTGTAGCGCTTCACTATAGTGAAGCGACCGTGGGGGTCACCACGTGATACAATGTCTACCTGGGTGCAACTATTAGTGGGGATGGGACAATCAACAGAGACCTGGATGTCCGTATCCAGAAGGCTAATGGCGCCTTTCATCAGCTCTGGGACATTTGGAATAGCAGAACTATAAAGACTCCAACCAAGATCAGGATCTATAGGGCTGCTGTCCTCACCATCTTGTTGTATGGAGCTGAAGTCTGGAACACCACCAAAAAGCAAATGAAACGTTTCGAGGTTTTCCATCAAACCTCCTTGAGAAGGATCCTTAGGATTAAATGGTTCTTTCATGTAACCAACGACGAAGTTCTTAGGAGGGCTGGCATCAAGTCAGTTGAGACTTTCATCAGTGCTGCCAGGCTACGTTGGTATGGACATGTAGTTAGAATGCCAGACTCTAGACTACCGAGGTTTCTGTTGAACTGGAAGCCAAACTATGGAAAGAGGTCAAGGGGCAGACCCCGTAAGAACTGGAAGTCCTGCGTACTCGAAGATGCTGCTAAGTTTACAGGTGTTGAAAACATCGACAACGACACAACAGAAGCTTTGGCTACC